TGACATTAGATTCTCATGAAAGTGACGCCCACAACCAGCTGTGGCTAAGAGTGACACCAACATGTGAACCTATTTCAGGACTAATACGTATCTAATGCTGCCCACGTGGCCGTGTGACCCATGTGGACTCTGGCGAGCAGTGTATTCATGAACTCCAGTAGGAAAAACTGCTCTTTCACTCCCCAAAAAGGGGCTCCCAGTGATCACTGGCATTTATGAACTTTAGGACCTGCTATTTTTTCAGTAGGTTTAACTCCAAAACCATTCAGGTTCTTAAAAAGTTCGTCTGGGGGATTCTTTTATCTATATGAAAGCTTGGATAGAAAGAACTGAACTATGTAACAATATAACTGAAATGAACCATTGGACCTATAAACTTAGGTCAACAGAAGGCTTCTTCCAAGTTTCTTGCACATTCCTCTAAAATCACCATGAGAAGAAAATGAAAATGAGAAGCGTCAAGGAAAGGTAATGGTTTGCAGCTCCAAAGACTTACTTTGTGAATGCTTCCAAAAATGGCTGAAGTCTTTAACCACTAAGCTGCCTGCCGGGGGGGGGGGGGGGGGGGGGGGGGGGGGGGGGAGGTGTATGTCCTTATTAAATATCATCGCAGTAACTGACCAGTGTTTGAGAATGAGGTGAATGAGGCCTCTGACTTTCTCAATTATACCCGAGGATTTGCTGTGACCTTCCCTTACTGCAGTTTGGTAACAACGATACTGCTTTGTTCAGGGGATCCAGGACACACAAGGCATTGCACACTTCTGCAGAAACACATCCCACATTAAATTAAGTTAGAGGTGGTATTTGAAAAATAAATAACGGAGTTCCAATTCACTGCAAATGGTACAGGAGGCCAGTAAGTAGGAAGCCTTCAAGAGAAGGACTTCTTTTAGAAAGATGTTTTACAGGACTTTTTCTGCGTCATTAACTCTCCTGGAATCCTGAACGTAACATGATGAATTTCCCTAAAAAGTAGCTACTGTTTAATTTTGAAGCACTTCAAAGAGCCACAGTAGAAAGAATCAAAGAAAACCAAAAAGACCAGTAGATGTGAAATTCACCAAAGAGTAGAGAAAAAAAAGGGGGAAAAGGTTCTAACAGATTTTGACCATGTACTCAAAATACCACTGATTATTTTGCTAATACAGTGTTTTACTGTTTCTTGTGACTGAAATAAGCCTCTGTATTCATCAGAACACAGGATATTTTTATAACAATATTTGTGTCATAGCCCTTAAAAAGAAACATACTTAGACCCTTGAAAAAGAATCTGTCTGAAAATAGCCATTGAGGTGTATATATGTGTACACTTTATTATAAACTGGAGGTTGCTTTTTATTAGAGAGAGTCACACATACTACAGTACTACTCCTAACCTCAACATGGAGTTGTAGAGGAAAAACATGATTTCTCCAAAGCAAATAGATGGGGACAGGAACAATAAGAAAGAAAGCCCACGGGGATACTACGATAGTTGTTTAACTTCAATAATAACAATAATTGGTCTTTAAAAATGTCTTTTTAAAATCTGCCCAAGGGAAAAGAAAGAAAAAAAAACTCCTTAAAACTCCACATCCCAAATAACACTACATCAAAAACATGTGGAAAATGTCAGATAATGATATCCACCCAAGTTAAGAAATACAGGAAACTTTGGCTTCAATTAACATTTCAAATAATCAACTAAAATTCAGATTTCTACTTGAAAAGCCCCAGAAGATAAAGCTGGACTAGGGGTCAGGTTTTCAGAGTCTCTTTAAAAGGACCATCTGTTTGTAAATGTCCTTCTCATACTCCACCTCGTCCCTCATCGGCACCTAAGTTCACAGCAGAAGCCAAGATGAATTTAAAGACCCATGCACACTGCTCCTAAGAAGTACAGTTACCACATATGTGTTCTGGGCTCCTCTCGAGTTTCCCTTGTTATGTAAGCACTTAGGGGCAATAAAATTTCACAGACATTCAACAGCGCTGTGAGTCTCAACACAACAGTCGCCTTGAGTGTGCATTTCTTTCAGGCAGTGTGCAATGCTGAGATTTAATTCATGTTGATCATGCTGTCAATGCTTTATGGAATAACCATTTAGTAGGACTCTGTTCCCTGATAACATTTATTACTGTTATTAAATATCATTATCTGTGTTGAACTCTGTATTTGAAAAATCAAATCAGAAAAAAAATAAAATATGAAATATTCAGAAAGATCTATGGAGCTAGTAGATCCCCAGACACACATCATCCGTCTGCGGAATCTGATGAGAAGAAAGAAAAACAATGAGTATTCACTTCTCACAGATAGAGGTCACTAATGGACTGAATTTGAATCAGTGTGGCAGAAACCACCAAGTTATTAAAGCAATCCTCTGTGTGTGTGTGTGTGTGTGTGTGTGTGTGTGTGTGTGTGTGTGTGGTGAGGGGGGGGGAGAATTTGAATTAAAATTAAATGTACCAAAAAATGATCCTCCAGGAAAGCATGAACCAAACAGAAACAAGGCTCATCACCTTCCCCTTATTGAAATGTTCTAAGCAGACAGCAAAGTCTCCTCCTCGCTGGTTCCTTTTATTTATTTATTTTGGACCTAAGGCACTGCTGATCACAGGAGCAACCATTCTTCCTTGTGAAAGTAGAGAGAGCTGAAGAGTCAAACTAGATCAGATGCTGCAGCTGAGCCTCTACAGAATAAGACTTCTGGTGGTGGACATACTTGAAACCACAGCTTCAAACAGGGAAACTTAATCGCTGCTTTAGGAAGGTTGGTGTAAATCCTAAGTCCATCTATCCAGCATGCCAGAATAAATGTAAAGGGAATCAGAGGAGGTTCAAATGAGATCCAGCCGTTCAAACTCTGATGATCACCTCATCTCAAACCTTTCATACAGGGGAAAAAAAAAATGACTGCACAAGGGACCCCAGAGTAGGCCAGCATTGGCATAATTTATTCCTTTAAAGCATCCCCTAGAATTTGTAAAACAGTAGTGAAAGCATGTAAGTGTGAAGATATAGGCATCCAAAAAAAAAAGAAGAAGAAAAGAAAAGAAAGGAATAATGTTTGAAATTACATCTTCCAACTTGCTCCAGTCACAGATACTTGCATCTTGACTTGACAGTGTGGTTCTATACTGTCAACAGTCATTAGTAAAGACCCTTAAAGGCTTTTACCCTGGCCTATTTTGATTTCTTCTCAGGCTTCTCTAAAAAAAACAGATGAAGGGAGAAAAGTTGTACACACTCAGGGGTAATAAAACGCGCAACTTTTCTTGGTGTGCATATTCCCTAAAGATTGATTCTCCTCTAATATGGTGGCCAGCCAAGCCACATGTATCTGGTAAATATCCTTGGTGATTTAGAAGACATAATCCAGTTCTAACATTTCAGATCCTGACCTAAAATTTTATATCCATACGGCAACAATCAAATACAGCACTGGACAAATGCCAACCTGGCATTCTATTTACCTCGGAATTGTGGGGAGATACTTCTTCGCTGATTTAATAAGGTCATACCAGGTAGGACTAGAGAGGATCCCGCTCTGATACGGAAGCCATCCTTCATATTAGTTTTGGGCTGGGGGAAGTTAGACATCATAAATTTAGCAATAATCCTGTAAGCGACTGGACATGCTCTGAAGCTCACTAGAACCCTGTGTGATTTAGGTAGCCTCCCAGCTGAATGGGGAGCAATGGCTCCCATTTAGAAGAGGCTGTGAACAGCAGACACAGCATGTAAAGAAATCTGATAGGCACCTTGAGCTCCTGGAGGAGCATTTGCAGGGATTTTCGCCTTGCACTTACTTGATTAGTTTACTGTTAGCTTAACGGGAGATCCCCTCTATTAGAACTAATCACAAACTCTCCCAGAGATGATTTTCATTCAGAGAATGTACTAGGAGTTTCCAGAAGAATTAATAGTGATCATCATAATAAAGACGATACCAGGGCCTCAAGAGCTGCTTCAAAACTCTGTAGTGCCTTAAGGGGTGGTGCTGCTGAATATTTTCCACCCTGGGAGTGAGCAGCAGCTATTTTATTAGCTGAAGTGCATGGAACTGGTGTTCAGAATTGTGAACAGCAATTGTGTCTTCCCTCTGGTACTCTAGCTTCCTTACACACATGAGGCCATTCCCAGTTCCCCCACATCACTGAGCATCAGGCTAAAGAAAGGGTGGGGGTGGGGGCTCTGTGTAACATCACTAACCCCAGGCAGTGGAACATACATGCACATCCATATCCATACCTCTCTTTTTTTCCCTACTACACACACACACACACACACACACACACACACACACACACACACGCACACGCACACGCACACGCGCAGAGACAGAGAGAGACAGAGAGAGCAAATTTATACCACCAATGGGTAACGTTTCATATTGCCCTTCAATGAAAATGTGACTTTTATAGTTCGTATTTTATGACACCAGAAGGTGAACGAAATTAGGGAAGACTCTGAGGATGTCGGGGGGGGGGGGAGATATCTCTCTCTCTGCTTTCAATATTCATACCCCTCTCCTAATCTAAGATTCAGAGAAAGCTACGAGAAGCAGGTGAGCAAAAGTAAGCTTCCTTTCTTTTTATATGAAATAGGGTGAGAGGATGAGAGAATGAGGGGGATGAATGAAATCCATCTATCATTTCTCTGGATTCGGGCACACTTAAAAGTCCTTGGATACACATTCTAAATTTCCAAACATTACAGAATCAGACACCAGCAGGAGCCCAGGGTTTTCCTCCACTCGGGTGGGGGGATCGACTCACATCATTGCCTATCTGGCACGAAGAAACACCAAGACACCTCCCACCCCCGCCGCCACACACTTCCATTCCCACCCCCAGCTAACATGACTATTGAACTGCCAGTGCTGGTATACCCATCCCTGGGACCTTGAACTTGGCCCCGGTCTTACTTTGAGTCAAACCTAGGTAACCCGGCTAAAGGCTTTCAAAGGATCCGAAGCCCAGAGAGGGAGGCACGGTTAAGGGTGCGCATTTACCTGCTAAGGTTTTCCAGGTCTCCCTTCAGCCCTGCTGGTAATCCCGCTCAGCGCAGCGCCCTCCCCCAGATCCAAACTTTTGCTGGGTCCTCCAGGTGGCGGCGGCGGCTGCTGCAACCCAGCTCTGTCTCTGGCTGCGTCGGAGCTCCAGGAAGCTGAGGCCAGAGCTTCAGAGTGGTGAGCGCCTCCCGGCAGCTTGCCGGCGCCCGAGCGCCCCGCTCGCCTTGCTCGCTGTCGCCTACGTCCCCTACGGAGCCGCGGCATCGTCTTCCCCGGTCCTCTGCCACCTCCGCCTCCAGGGGTCGGGCATGCCACTTTATCTAGGCTCCGGCCGCCACAGCTCTGGTCTCCTCTCCTCTTCCCGTCTCCCCCTCTCCGCCTCGAACCCCGAAAAAAGTAGGGCGATCTAGGAGGGCGGTGGAGCGCGTCCCGGCCGGGTCCGGGACTGCTGGGAGCCCGAGGACCGCGCGAGTCGGCGGGAGAACTGGGCGGGCGCTCAGTCGCAGCGAATGTGCGGACCACGCGCAGCAGGGCGTGCAGCTCGGGCTGCGCGGGGGCGGGCGCGGGGCTCACTCCAAGTGCAGCGTCTGCGGGGCGCGGGTCTGGAGGCAGCTCCAGCCACACTGCTGCCTTGATCGGACCCGGTCTGCTAATGTAGACTCCGAGGTCCCCACCCCCACCCCTCCTGACACCCCCGGGAGATGTTTACTGTAATGAATTCGCGGGATCGGCTTTGCAGCTCGCGCGCCCCTCCTCTCCCTCGGCCCCTGGAGCTCTGGCGCGCTCCCCTCTTCGAGCCCTCTTTCTTGGCCTCCCTCTTCTCCTCCCTCCCAAGCCGAGTCCCTCCCACTTCTCTGGTTTAAAGAATGCTTGGGAGGAGCCGCAGCAACCCTAAGCTTTCCAAGAGGCAAAGTCAGATGGGGCTTTTAACCCTGTCCTCCCTGGAGAGAGTTACGTGCTCCCGGCTAACCCAGGAATGCCAACTTGACCCAGAACCATGCCTCTCTCTCTCTGTAAGCCTCAGGCGTCCTCCCTACCCTCAGCTTCTCTGAACGGTGAAGGACCCTTTCCCTGTAGTTCGCCTGATGTACATCCACGCCAGAGGAGCTATTACTTAGAAATGATCGAAACGTAACATTAGAGGGTAAAAATTTAGCAAGTCTCTCAACCAAAATGGCGTTATTTTACTCTGAGGCAACATTGGGGATGTGCGGCACCTCCAGCGCATCAAAGGTCTGCTCATCAAGCTTTCTTCCATAAACTTTAATTGGAGGAATTAGAGTTTGGCATCGTATTTAAACACATCCGCTTTCCCCTGTCACCCTGGCTGCTCCTGGAAAGAGTGATGTTCAGTAGATGAGTTGTCTCTAGAAATTATAATGGAAAACCGACAAGGTCCGCAGCAAAGACTATGGAAACAGGCTGCATAGTTAAAACGTCCAATCGGCACACCTTTCCCACTTGGGATTCTCTTTGCAAAGGTTAAAGAGTAATCTAAGAAATCTGAGACATGTCTCTTTCATTTTTTTTTTCCTCTCTTTTTGGCAAGGGGATGGTGACCTGCCTGGTTTGTGCCTCCATTCATTGCTGCCCATAAGTCTCCAGCAAGTTGCGATGTGTTTTAACTAGTCTGGAGACCGTCGGCATACTAACAGAAGAGGGAGAACAAGCCCGCACCGAGCATTGGGCTGCAATGAGGCGCACTGTGGGTAGAGCCCCGGGAAAAGCAATTTGCAAGTTGAAAGCTCGCCCTGAACCAACTCCCTAGGGATCTTCTCAGCCTTCTGGACTGACGACTTTGGCAAGGGCGTTGCCTGTAACCCGCTGGAGATGATTTCCGGACGAACCCCAGGCGCGACCGCACTCCTTGTCCTCGGTTCAAAGTCTGAGTCACTTGGCACCACCTCCCCAATTGTTTTTATTTCCTTGCATCGCTGTTGTGTCTGCTACCTTCATGGATTTGAGCGCTTAAATCCTGGTAAGAGGACTTGGAAAAACGCCCGATTTGTCTCCCAAGCCACACAAGGATACACCCAAACGCGCCGCGACACACACATTCACACACGTTGGCACACACCACGGGGGTTCAAGAGAGCTTGCCACTCTTCCCCGTCCTTTATATATGCAAAGGCGACTAGAAAACACGTATGCGTAGCCTGTCTTTTTCTCCAAACTTGGAGTGTTAACTGACAAATATCCAGGAGAGAATGGGGCGTGAATGGAGCCTCTAATCTGAGGAAAACAGACAGTGAGAGTCATCTTGGGAGCTTATGAAGAGAAGCGCCAAGATGACAGCAGCGATGGCGGTAGCCTTCAGCAGCCACTGTCCCTTCCTGAGGCCCCTGGCAGGCAAAATGATTTATCTAAACAGCAAGTGTGGGACCAGTCCTCCCTAGACAGACAGGCTCTTTCCTAAATCTTCCTTTCCCTGATCAGTGCAGAGACTTTAGCTAGCTCAGACCCTTGATCGTGGAGGGGAATCACAAAACAGAAGTGATTCGCGCCCGCGCTGAAAGCTCCTGGAAGAGCCCTGGACTGGTCAGCTTAGCAGAGGAACCTTTCCAGGAGGTTCCTAGCCTGGAAGGGACCCGAGAGCAGCTGGATAGGTCCTTCTCCTTACTACTCTGGGCATCTGCTTGGCCTTGCATTCAGCTCCTGGGGGCGTAGAAGGACCCATCTCCACGTCCCAGGCATGCTGCGCAGGGAAAGTGATCCTAGTTCAGCTTTGGGAGCTCTGGAGGACTTCTCTATCCCCCGCCGGTGAGTCAGGAAAGCGCAATTACACCAGCCCTAAAACTACCAGTTCCCGGTGCAGGAGCAGAGCAGGAAGGGTCCCTGGTTTTGAAAAACCGCACTCGATTGGAAAGAAAACGAGCTAGCATCCTCAGTTTTAGTGACTAATTGAACCCGGATTTGGGGCACAGGGCGGGTAGAGGTTTCAAATACAGACGCTTGATAATAATATTACTTCTGCCATTCAACACAGATGGGTAGGGGAGTTTGCTACTTACCGTACTTAAGAGATTCATTCTAGGGGAAATGAGAGGCTGGAGTTCTAAAAGCATGGGGGATTCAGAAAACTCCGTTTAGGATCGATGTTTCTGGCAGGCAGCAAAGGAGCGTTTTTTATCCCCACAACTCAGTCACAAAACTCCCTAGAGAATGTGAATTCGACTTGAGAGTATAAAAGTCCTCCAAGTAGGGGTAGAGAGAAAAAGAAAACCTATTTTCTTTGGGAATAAAAAGAGACAATACCTAGAACACCCACCCGGTGACCACCCACCATTTGTTCAAATAATAATAATAATAAATCTTCCCAAATAACGTGGTGCCCACGTAAGGAAAGCTAAGGCAGTCACTAGAAACTTCACCTGGCATTGCAATCCCTTTACCTGGTGGCCTTCTCTCCTTAGCTCATCCGAATCCGACTGGGTCGGGGAGGTGGAAAGGGAAGAAGCTGGCATGGCAGCAGAGGGACTCCCCGGGCATGGTATTGCTTTAGGGGTCGCCGCCGAGGTCCCTCCTGCCCATCGTTGAGAACTGCCACCCTGGTCCTGAGGCTCAGTGGGCGCCGTGACCGGTTCTGAGGTGCTTCCTCCAGCTTCTGGAAACTCTCGGGACGGAGGACCAGAAACCGAGCGCACCTGGAAGCCGAGAAGAGCTCTGCGTGTCTGAGAGGCCCTGCACTTGGTGTTATCTCCCAGCGCACATTCCTCGGTGGTGACAATGGATGACGCCAAACTCACAAGTGATGGCGACCGCTTTCCAATGTACAACTAACTGCAAGGTACCCGGCAAGACAGAACGCTTCGTTCCCCCTCCCCCTCCTTTCCCTCCTACCCAGAAGGGAACTAGCTTAACCCTGTGTTCACCCTACACTCTGGATGGAAGCTAGATTGCGCTGAGAAACCGCAGGCCGCGGCTCTCCCGGCAAAAGCTTTGTTCACGTGCAGTTCCAGTGGGCGTGTGGCTGTCCAGGGGCACTCGCGTGGCAAGACGCCAGTGGCGCGCTTTCCCAAGCCAGACTCGGGAATTGGGAAGGAGCCTAGCGTTTCATCCGGACCAGACCCAGCCCTCACAATCTATTTTTTACCTCCAGTTACCGGATTTATTGAAGTTGCCAGAAAAGTTGGTTTTTTATTCCTTTACTTCTGTGTCCCCCTCACCGCCCCCCCCCCCCCGCCCCTGGTATCATTTCCTTTCCCAGCTGCGCTTTGAAGACTTGGAAATCTCTGATCTAGTTCTAACTCTTAACAGAATTCCGAGTGCCGCGCGAGAGGAATGAAGGAGGGTACCCACCCACTCCTGGCAAATTTAAATGAAACCACAAGGACAGCTGCCTCCCACCTATCCATCCGAGGCCAGTGTAAACTAAATGACATCACTCAAGTGAGGAAGATTGAGGCACCTGAAGACCCAGTGTAGAAGAAAAAAAAAAAAAAAAGGGGAATTAATATGTGGTTGGGGAAACCTGCAGAAAGGGAAAGGCTGGGGTGGGTGGTGGGTGAAGCAAGAATAAAATTGCAAAACATAAAAAAGGGAAGAAAAGGGAAATAAAAAGCAGGGACTTGAAACAGCAGGTCAGTTTTAAGGGCGATTTGACCAACAGTGTTTCCTAGGCTCCCTTGGAACAGGTTAATCAAATAATAAACTCCTGCTTGGGTTTAGTAAACAGCTTTGCCTAGGCGTTCAGAACTTCCAGGAAGTTAACTGAACGAGCAGAGAACCATCTCGCTGACCCTGAAAAGAAACTTAGTCCTGAGAAAATCGTTCTCAGGCGCCTCTACTGTAGCCTTCATCCTCAAATGAGCCAAGACTGATCTGAGCGTAAACCCAGATCTGCGTAAGGGCAGAATCGCTTTTTCAGGCTCTATTCTGCGCTAAAGAAGCAGGAAGCTGTAAGAAAGCTCTGAGAGTTACAGGCAGACCTTGCTGAAGCCGGATTGTTTCAAAGGGGAAAGCAAAGCGTGCTTTTCCGCGAAATAGATGCCCCCACCCCCACCCTCCGCGTGCAAAGTAGCCAAGCCAATGTGAATAGCAGCCATTCCAAACGCCTATCTGAGCTCTGCAGCCCCGAGAAGCTGCGAGCTGCTTCCAGACCTCAGCATGAAGAATTCCGTTGTAAATCCTTCTGATTTGCCAAGGTGGCAGTAGAGCATAGGGATAGCTCCTTGGGCTCTTGAATCTGCAAAGAAGAACACACTTTAGGACAAATGCGCTTCCACCTGCTTTTAAATATCCATTCTCCTTTCTAAGTGTGCAAATGTGCCCCCAGAACCTCTCTTCCCTTGTATCCTTCTTCTGAGAGGATGGTTTATTGACTTCACTCTTAAGAACATCTTTTGGTTAACTGGGCAAGATGGAAGCCCAAACAGGCTTTACTTTCAGATTCATGCTGTTGGGAAGAGACGAACTGAAAAAAAGGAAGAGGGAATGGTTAGTAGTATGCAGAATTTTATTTTCAAGCATTGGTGATCCTAAATTATAATGAAACAGTGCAATGAGCATGCTCTGCTTTTTAAAAAGCTACTGATGCAGCTGTGATTATGATTTAAAAAAAAAAACATAAGGAAAGAAAATACCACAACAAATGTATGAAGAGAAGCAATGTAATAAGTTTCTTATCCACATGACTTAAGAGTCAACTTTAGAAATGCATAAAGGTGAGACCGGACCGAGCAAAAGAAATGGATGTGGTCCAAGGGCTCCTAAGTATTAGAAATTCACAGCCTGTGATAGCCACGCCATTTTAC